CTTTTTTTTTACTTTTTTCTTTTTCGGTATTGGTAGCGAAAGGTTAATTGCAAAACAGAATGGGATACTGGAATAATGAAAAATGAAAATTACTAAGCTGGAAAAATGTTTAAATTTGTTCAGTTAATTTTTACCGATTTGGGGGTAAATTATAATATGTATATTTCGTGATTTTTTTTATATAAATATATAATAAAAATAAAAACATTAACATCACAGCCTTTCATTAACACCAGCCAGTCGACTTTACTTTTTGTACAGTGTGTTCCGAAGACTAGCTATAAAAATAAGAAAAATATTTATGTGTAAAGAAGCCATGAGAAATTGCTGGAAATTATTTTCAAGCTTATAGAATGTCCGTTAGAGAGCTCAACTGCTATGGCAAATAGGAAAAATAAATTTTTACAACATTATGCCTAGGTAAGGGTTTTGCAAAGATAAGTTACCCCAGACTGGGTAACGAGAATTCAACAAATTACGGTTCGTTTTTGAGTGTGGTTTAATATGGCTTTACTTAAATTCTGGTTCAACAGCGCAATCATTCTTAATTTTATTTAAACCGTCTAAAAATGTAATGTAGGGTCGACTCAATAATTTGTTGGTTTTACTTTGTGTCAATAAAGGTTGTTAAATTGTTAAAAAATATATTTCTAATAAAAATAGGTAAAAAGGGTTTAAGAAAGATTAGAGTAGCATACGAATCAAGTTGGTTAGTATGCTCCTTGTTTAATTTTTTTTTATTCAAAACGTTGTTCGATAAACGATAAAAGAAAAGAAATATGGTGTCTGGAAGCGGGTCACGTGTGTAAGCGCCGCAAAAGATTTACCGCAATCTAGATATTTAAGTGGGGGCGACTGTAATTTGTCACGGCATTAGCGCGGCGTGGCGCAGCGCCAGTGTGGGGTGCCCCAGGGCACGGACGCCTCCCCAACCGCCCTCAGCGTGCCGCTCCGCGTAGAGATGTTTTCTGAATGCAGCGGAAAGGAACTTTTCTTGGCGTGCTTGCTTCTACGTGCCACCGGTGCCAACAAACCGCCGAAAACGATCGATAGAAACGTTTTATTAAACATCAGTTTTGTCAGTTTTCTTCTAGTAGAATTGAAATTTAACGGGCTGTAATGCAAGTTTTCTTCACCTTTTCAAAGCGGATGCTTTTAATCAATGTGTAGTGCTTGGTAAACATCCTTAAAACGCTCAAATATAATGCGATATACAATCGATTGTCGGTATCTTCTCTATTTATCTCTCTTGAAAACGGTTTTTTATTTCACACTTTTGGTGTCAAACGGGCCACACATTATACAATTTATCGTACTGCAGATTGTACAACACAAATTTGATTCGACCGTTTGAACGACAGATCGGATGCACTGTTGTCCACAAACTTAAACTACTAGTTTAATGTCTGTCGTACAATAAATCGCTTCCCAGTTGATTTTGTCTTGTTCGCCAAGGCTTTGTGTTAGTCAAAAAGGACAATAGCTGCAATTGTGGTAGATTTTTTAGTCGAAGATGAAAAACCCTCCCAAAAATTGTAATTAAATATTCTAAAGTAGCATCTGCCTTATTTATTTTAATTTTTCCAATAGATTCTCATAACATGCACTTCTTTAATTTTTGTTTAAGTATTCGTAATTTTTTACATTCCACACACCCATGCATGGAAACGATATATTTTTATAAATTCCGACCAAAACTTTTTATTTTCAATTTTTATGATCTGTACTGTACTTAATTTGCCACGAAAAATGTTTAGATTTCGTTTTAACAAGAAGTGCTTGCACACAAACTATCAAACCTATCGTATCTACTACTGCGTTGCAGTGCATTGTACTACAGATTGTATGCATGCTGTACTTCCGTACGATACGACAGAGTCGAGCTGCAAGTTGTACTACAATGCCACTAACTATCCAACCATTGATCCAACGGTCGAAACAATTTGGTGTTGTACAACTTGTAGTACGATAAATCGTATAATGTGTGGCCCGTTTCAGAGCTTTGACAAAAACCACACTGAAAAAAATTATTCACAACAATATTGAGGGCTATTTCTTGCCATAGTAAATTTACCATCCGTTCTTTAGGTCTATAACTCGTTTGTAAAATCACTGTATGGCTAATTTTTGGCATGTATAAATATAAATAATATATGTTATAATATATCTTCATATTCACCAATATTCTTTGTGAATTTGTTTAAATAAATGTGTATCTCATAGTTAATTTATTATTATAATTATATTATAATTATTGTATTATTCATTGTAAATTAATCTTTTAAAATCGACAAATTCTTGTACTATTACTGTTTAGCAACAACAAATATTTTTTTTTTATTATAGTGAATTTACAAACTATTTGTAATAGTCTATTACAATAATTACTTTTGTAAATTCATTAAAGGTTAATAAATATTAATAAAATTAACAAAAAACATGTTTATAATAATTATAATATTCATTATAAAGGTTAATAAAAAGTCACAAAACAGAACTTATGTATGTAAGATATTCATTGCCATCTTTTCTTGTCTAGAAGAACCTTACTGGAATTCTGCGCCTAACCAAAACAGGAAAAAGATTTCAACTGGATACAAAATAAAAAAAACATTCAAGAAAAAGATATTAATATCTAATTAAAACAGTCAACTTAACCAGCTTAGAGACTATGAATGTATAGAGTATTCTATACTCCGGTCCTCTAAATTTGTCCTCCGAAACACAGTCTGAAAGAATAAATAATACTTAGAGACATGTTAACTGGAATGTTATATCATGAAACATGCATCAATATTTTTTTTTGTAAAATTACTTATATATTCATTCTGAATTCAACTACCGTATTAGAAAACTTATAATATAAAATAATATAGATATTTTATATCTCTCCTATTTCTTCAATTTTCTACGATATTAATCCTCATATTTTATTCACGTGTGATCTTGATCAGCTGTAGTTACATGAAAGTTTAGCCAAGGTCTCTATCCAAATGACATGTTTTAAACATGAGTTATTATTAAGTTTTTGGCTTTTCTACATTTCAAGGAGACAATAATATAGTTATATAGTTACAGATCGATATCAAGCCTGGGGTATATGGGCAGTTTTAGTTATCGAACATTATTATTAGATATAATTTTATATGTGACTTTTTGCAGTATTGTATTTTAGCTGCTGTAGAATTGGTTACGAAATGTATTAGCCTGGATATTTTAAGTTGAAGAACCATCATTTTATAAATATCAGTTCATAACACTGTCGCTTTCTATATTGTGCGCATATAATCGGCAATATGCAGGCTGAAGCATTGTAACCTATAATTATAGATAATTATTTTCATGGAATATCATTTTCTTTAAGTATAAGTTTTGAATTGTAGTTCGTACGTAACGAAATCTTATACTGTTAAAAATTAAATGTTTTAATGTACATTTGCTTATTTTATATAAAAATCAGTGAATATATAATATGTCAGTTACGAGAGATGGCACATGTTTTTTTAAACACCCTGTATAATACGCGAGGTATAAAGATAAAACCAACTTCCTAAAAACCAGGAGCGTCATAGATGAAAGAGACCGTTATTATATCTATCTCTGCTTTGGATCATCCTCCACAAGTGGCACACAAGCTACCACCTTCCCCAGCAAGGGTCAGGAGCCTAGCTCTAGACCCAATAAGCGACACAAGCTACCGTTTCGTCTACCCGGCCTGGGTCAACCAGGCGGGCTAGACGATCCTCTGAGAGTAGGTCTTAGCGCGGAGCAGAAGCACCTCCGATTGCTCCACGAAGGACTTGCTCCAGAGGAAGCAAAAGCGAAAACACTCCTCCGAAAAGGGGAGAGTAAAGAAATCAAGAAACAACCTGACTCATCTCCATCAAAGGGCAAGAGAGGGAGCGAGAACCTCTCACCTCTACTCCGGCAGGGAGAGAAAAAAGCCAGGATGGAAAACCGTCCAACACCGGTAGGCAAGCAGGGACGTATCACCAGATTTGCCGCTATTGCTGGACAAGTGAAAATGACGGTGCTGTCAAAGGATTTCCCAGCGGTTGCTCTGACCACCGACCAGCAAACGTCTCTAGAACTCCTATACTGGACGAAGTAGTGGCGATCGGATCGCAACACAACGATCTACAAAATGTGGGTCAGCTGCGTTTTGCGGGGATACACTTTCGGGTGGGCATGATCCTCATAGATTGGGTATCTCAAGCTTAAAAATTGGCAAGGGCCGGAACTAGTTGCAGTGAAGGGAGAAAACATCCTTAAAGGGGTGGCCATCACGGTCTTTCTGCCGAGGAGCAAGGGGAAAGACACCACCTACCTGCTGAGCCTTATCCAGGGTCAGAACTTCAATGTAAGGACATTGAGTTGGCGAGTCATCAACTCGAGGGAGGAGGGCCATGGTCAGGTCCTCACAATAGGAATTGACCTCAAATCCAAGGAGGCAATAGAGAAAGAGGGACATATCCTCTATTATAGATACGGGACAACACCGGTATCAGGTCTAAGGAGAGACCAAGTTAAAGGGGTGGAGAAAATGGAGACAGATCCTCCAGCCTCCACCTCACGGGTTCCTCGGCCGGAGGCAAGCTCCTCGATTGTGAAGGGCACGGAGGGCCAAACTCCAATCGTGGAAGGGTGTGTACCCTCGGAGGAAGAACATATGTTGTCAGAGGAGGATGGGAAATACCCTGTCCCCTCTACAACAGAGGTATGATGGGTTGTAGACTGTGTAATGACTCACGGAAGGGGGGCACAATAGATCTTTAAGGTCGCAGTGATTAACTTCCCTCTCACTCATTCTACATTCTACATATCTATCTCACTCCAGTTCCGGTATATATAAATATATAAACCGGTTGAAGTGAGATAGAACTTTCCCCGCTGTCTTTCGGTGATGACGCAAATGGCTTTTAGTAAGTTGGTTTTATCTATACCAAATCCTCTTTTGCAACCAAAATGAGACACTCTGTATATTTATGTTATTGTTCCAGGTGAGTCACACCGTACCAAGATCCTTCGAGGCAGCGAATATGGTACGTATTCATATTTTTTTATTATTAGTACCAGTAGTACCATATGATACAATCAACGTACATTATTACACATATAGCTATGAATTATATTCTTGTTTTACGCGATGTAATATTGAGAATTTTAATATACGTACAGGGTCGGTAAACGATTGCGTAGTAAGTCGATTTACGTTATTTGAATATTAAAATTTTTAAGGTTGCAACATGTACGGGTGTCAGTGTAGGCCTAAGGTAACAGTTTAAAAGTACTGAAAACTGAATTTTTAACTTTTGTATACAGGGTCGCTGATATGCATGGGAACGGTCGATTATTAGGTAAAATATAAGAGGTACCGTAAAAGGTTATATATAAAAGTTATAGCGTTTTTAAATATCTATTAGCGAGTAATAAATTTAAGTATACAGGGTCGATCATAAAGTCGTGGCACATCAAGGTTTCATTTTTTTAAATGGAACCTCCTGTATATTATTGCATATTTCAGTTCTTCCTTCAATTCTAATCAAAAATCGAGATACACACAATGTACCTCAAACCAACCGTTTTCGAGTTATTGACTTTTGAAAATATCACTTAAACAATTCGATTTAATTAATTTCGATGTGTTCGCTTTCATTTAACGATGCAATTCTGCGGAAACTGTGATGCTTAATAATATTTGACATTAGTTTTCAAGTTAGCATTTATAAATGTATAAAATGAGAGTATATCAAATATCAAGTCTGGAAATTACAAAATTTTTCGTTTAACATTCCAAAATCAAAACTGCATAATTCGGAAATTGTTGAATTTAGGTACATAACCACACATAACTACAATACACATAATCTATAGATATCTTTCTTTTTCTTTAATTAATACACATAATGTACGTAAATTCAACAACGAACTTGAAAACTAATTCAAATATTATATAACCATGGACATATTCGGCGCCGAGCTGAAAAAATGTGAAGTTGCAAAATTTATTTATTTATTTGATATTGATTTCTTTGCCTGATATTGTCATTCGTTTTGACACTTCAGTTTTGCATTACGAGCTTTGGTTCAAATGAATTGTGTTGTGATAATTTAAGCTTAAAATTTTTCACTAGCAGACCTTGCAGTCGAACATTGTTTTTTTTAGAACCTCTTTTAGTGCGACGTATATGAGATAGCTTAATAGCCGTTGTAAAAAACTCATCGAACCTTATTACAATATTTTAAACGGAAAAGCGATAGTAATGGCCTTTTATATCCTTTAAGTGCTGTTAAGGAGGTGAGTTTTGTTGGTGTAAATAATAACTGTTTATATATGTATTTATAATTCATTTATTTTTGTTTCTAAAAATATTTTGATTAAAAGAGAATATGTAAAAGTGGGCAACGCTGTGCTGGTCAAGCTTAATCACTTAATTAAGCTAATCATCATTAGCTAGATCATTTGCTTTCTCATTGACTTCTATTTTCTTGGTGGGCAGTAGGAGGACTTTGTAATAACCAAAAACTACGACTAAATGTAAGAGAAAAAAAAACGGTCACAAGTACTTACATCCCTTATTTACGCTTTACCTTACCCCTCCTAACCTACTTTTCTACCCCCTGTTCCATTTTTCTCCATTGTTTCCCAGCGTGTCGTCGGCTTGTCCCGGCCCAACGCAAAACTACACCTCACCATTAAAAGGGCGTCGTCTTGTCGTCGGTTTATTCTGGCTTGGTGGCTGCGGCCCCAAAGGAGGGGAACGTCCCCCCGTATCGATTTTCTTGCTAGCGAGGTGTTTAACCCCGTCCGTAGACGCAGGGGGTGGGAGTTGGACACGTTAGGCGCTGGGTGGGACACTTTTTTTAGAAAAAAAATTTGTTCTGTAGTTTTTTGAAGTCAATTGGAATAGATTGGGAGTCTTAATTTCGACACTGTGTTTGACTTAAAGAGTCCCAATGCTTTCAATTGATTTCTAAAATACTAGAAATGTTCTCAAAATCCGCATTTTTTGCACTTGTGCACTTATTGAACACCCGCACTGTTCTGTACTGAATTTTTAATAAAAATATATAAGGCTGAGGCTTTAACATCTTTATTTGACAGTCGTAATAAAAATAACCAAGAAATACCGTCAGTGCCATTACTAGACCTTTCTATACGAATCGTTTTGTGTGTTATGAATAATATAAAATGTTATAAATTGCCCTATGTTTGCTTCTCACTCTCCAAACCCATCGAGATCCCTTCCTTTATACAGGGTGGACCGAATTGTGATCCGGAAACTTCGGCAGCATATTCTGCAGATTAAAATGAGTAAAAAAGTTCGTATAAAATGTATGTCTAAAAATGTTTAGTTTCGGAGATACAGGGTGTAGCAGTTTTATTTTTATTTCGATTGTTTCCAAATAATTTCTGAAGTAACGTCAATATTTAGATGAAAATTGGTGTCTGGGAGTTTTTTGACATGAGAAATTTGATTTTGATGTCAATATGACTCCTATTTGTAGGGGGCGCGGGCGCCGTCTGCATGTATTTTAACTGTTTTGAAGAGTAATAACTTTTTGTCCGTATCTGTATAAAACTACTGAGTGAAAAAATATACATTTCCATGATTTTCAACGTAAAAAATGTCTCTTGGTAAAAATCGCTACTAGCAATCGGTTATCAAGATATTTAGAATGGAAACAGTCAATACATCTCATTATTGACAAAAAATAAACATGTTGAGTAGATAGTTATTTGACTAAAAAGATAAATTTGGGAACTTTTTATTTTTTTTTAAATTAATCATAAATTTTGCTTCGAAAAAATGATGATAAAACAGTTCCTGTTGAACTTTTGGCACAAACATTTCAAATTTATCCTTTCAGTCTAATATCTATTTAGTCAAAATATAAAATCAAATTTATCATGCCAAAAAACTCCCAGACACCAATTTTCATCCAAAAATTGACGTTACTTCAGACATTATTTGGAAAAAATCGAAATAAAAATGAAACTTCAACACCCTGTATCTCCGAAACTAAACATTGTAGGATATACATTTGTACGAACTTTTCGACTTATTTTTATCTGCAGAATATGCTGCCGAAGTTTCCGGAATACAGTTCGGACCACCCTGTATATGTATGTAATGGGGTTTAGTGAAAGTAAGGAAAAATGTTTATTTGAAAATCTCTTTTTTAAGAAAATCAATGTTGCAACAGTTTTTAACCAACTTTTACCACAATATTATCTTCATCCAACGTATGTTTTCGACACAAATCTCAAAGTCAAACTTCTCCGAGAAAGAAAATATTAAAGTATTTTTCGCCTATGTAAACAACTTCGCAACTTTCCAACGTATCGTCCTTCCAAAAAGAAAAATAAGAAGATGGGAAAATGCAGAGATAGAAATAATACGCTTACTACTTCTTGATGTTTACAAACTTTGTTCGACAACAAAAACACTGCAAAAAATTTCAGAATTGGAGAGATGAAAATAAAGATAAAGTATCGTATAGGTTACAGCGTATAAATAAAAATCATGGGAGAAAAAATAAAAATACACAGAAAATGTAGGCTACAGTCTTAAGTAAGTTCCATTTTGACAGATTAATATAAAAGGTTAGAGTTATAGTAATTGGAGTATTTGTTTGTCAGTGACATCCTTTAAATTTTCAGATTGTAATTATTGTCCTCTGATTGAGTTAGAGTTGTAGTGGTTTTCTCTAAAATTGATTGTGTAATACTAATATAACCCCGCTTAAAAACCAAGAGACTCGTTAGAGAAGGGCTATTTTTGCTAAACTGGCAGTATAAGCGCCATTAAAAAATAAAGAAGAGTACGGGCCAAGTAAATCGTTTAGGGCTTGACCTCGCCAAATTTTTTGTTGATTTTCATTCCGCAGCCATCTTTGACGCTATTTTTTTTCGATCGTATGGTACTATATCTCAGTCTCAACAAATATTAAGAGTCTAGTACGCTGCACTGTTCGGGTCGCTCTGAAGGGTCGGGTAAAGCGGGTGTGTGGTCGAAGGAAATATATATTATATTACAGAAATCTGCCTAAGGCTTAGACCGATCCTGTCGTGTTAAGCCACACCCAAAATTCTAAACACACGTGCTTTGATTAAGGTTTGCAGAGCTTCAGCATTTTCCGTAAAATAGCGAGCAATTTGTTACAAAACCATATAAATTATATATCACTGTAATCACAAAACTTCAATCATTTCCGTATTGTAACGGAATTTTAAATTATGTCTTTATTTTCGAGAAAATTAAGTCCAAACATAAGGAATCTTTTGTTGATGTTTCTTAAAGAAATCTTAAAAATAATAAAGTTGTCTAAAAATGTGCTACAATACGGATATAGTATCTTTATCTTTAATTTTCTTCTTCATTTGTGTAAAAATGCCTAGTTTTACATAAAACGTTAAATGTCGAACGCTTATTTTGCTACTTTTTCGTACTAGTGAAATGGACTCTTAAAGAACTGTTGTAATGACGAATACAATACGCTTATCAATGTCGAACAGGATGTAATTGACATTTCAAAATTACTCCAACAATACTGACCATTAATACTGAAGAAAACAAATCGTTATCATTGTTGAAACAAAAACCTTATTATGAATTACTCGGTAATTACCTATTGGCATTTTTATGTATTTTTTTCATCGTAACCAAATAACAATAAAGGAGATATGTGAATAGCTGCAACGTATTGCTTTATGCCACTGTAAGAAAATTTATTTAAGAAAGGGCGATTTTCACAAATCTAGGATTTGTCAGCATTTATGGGACACAGGACACAGAGTAGATTTTAACAACGCAAAAATTATTATGGAAGAAGCGATAGCCTCTAAAAGAAAAATAAAAGAGGCTTAAAGAGGCACTCTATTAAAATTAACTATTGCTCATGAATCTGTAGAGGTTAGTAATGTATGGCAATCGTTTCTCTTTTGATTTTAACGAACGTAACATAAATAAACATAAGTAAAAATTAAAAAAATAGTCATACGGAAAGTTTGAGGCTTTTATGGTTTTACATCATTAAG